ACCGACTTTGGTGTCATCCACAAATTTACTAACCCATCCTTCTACGCCCTCATCCAGGTCATTTATAAAAATGACAAACAGCAGTGGCCCCAAAACAGATCCTTGCGGTATACCGCTAGTAACTGAACTCCAGGATGAACATTTCCCATCAACCACCACCCTCTGTCTTCTTACAGCTAGCCAATTTCTGATCCAAACCGCTAAATCACCCTCAATCCCATGCCTCTGTATTTTCTGCAATAGCCTAAGACAACACTAAGAATGACCCGGAGGAGATACAAGATCTATTCTTCAGTCCATGCCTTCTTAATTTGTTCTAAAGTAATTACCTGAACAGCAGCAATGGAATGCTCTTGAACTCTAGGACTGGAGCTATGGAATATTGTAAAACAAGATAGGTTGGTACTTTTTTCACTGCAGCATAGGAGGTTGAGAAGCGACCTGACAGAAGTTTATAAAATAATGAGAGGTACAGATCGAGTTTATAGTAGATTTCTTCCCGTAGAATGGGGGATTTCAAGACGAGGGAACACATTTTTAAGTTGAGAGGGGAGGAATTTTGAAAAAGACATGAGAGGCAAATATAGAATGAACTTCCTGAGGAAGTGGTGGATGCAGGTAAAATTACAAAGTTTAAAAGGCACTTGGATAAGTACATGAATAGGAAAAGTCTGGAGGGAGATAGTTGGAACTGCAGATGCTGGAGAATCTGAGATAACAAGGTATAGAGCTGGATGAACACAGCAGGCCAAGCAGCACCAGAGGAGCAGGAAGGCTGATGTTTTCTGAAGAAGGGTCCAGGCCGGAAACTCAGCTTTACTGCTCCTCTGATGTTGCTTGGCCTGCTGTGTTCATCCAGCTCTCCACCTTGTTATCTCTTTATCAAAGTTCGGAGGGATATGGGCTAGGAGCAGGCAGGTTGGACGAGTTTAGTTTGGGATTATGTAGGGCATGGACTGGTTGGACCAAAGGGTCTGTTTCCTATGATTCTATGACTCTATGGATGTTCCCCACTTAAACTCCTCAGGCCCACGCTCCCCCTTCTGTATCCCAATTAATATTCAGATATAGATACATCATTGGCAATAATTTCACAGAATCACAGAACTGTCACAGTGCAGATTGTACATTTGGCTCATCATGCCTGTAGCATTCTATTACCCGCTGCCAATCTCCTGCCTTTGACACATATCCCTGCACACCATTTCTAGCAAAATAATTGACCTCTTAAATGCCTCAAATGCATTTACCTCCACCATATTTCCAAGAAGTTCAGCCCATACCCTAAGTACTCGCTGTGTGAAAATGTTTTTTTCTTATATCACCTTTGCTTCTTTTGCATATCATTTTGAATCTATGCCCCGTTGTTATTTTTTCTTTAACAAATAGGAGCAGTTTCAACCTATCCACGCTAGCCAGCCTGCTTGTGAGTTTGAAAACCTCTCTCGGATCTCCTCTCAGCCTTTTTCTCTTCAAAGGGAACAGTCCCAACTACTTTAATACTATCCTCATAACTGAAGGTTCTCAATCCTGGGGCTATTTCATGTCCTGGTGTCCTTGCAGTGAGATGTCCTGATGGTGTGAAAGGTACCATACAGATGCACATTCTTCCTTTCTTTCGAATCATAGAGGTTTACAGCAGACAATGAGACCATTCGGCCCACTACATCTGCGCATCTGAGTATGATCCATCCATCCTCATCCCACTTTCTAATCCTTGTCCAATAGCCTTGCAGGTCACGGCACTTAAAGTGTACACTCGGGTATTTTATCAATGCAGAGGGGCCTCTCTCACCCTTGCAGGCAGTGAGTTTCAGATTCCCACCAGCCACTGGGTAGAGAACTTTCTCACCAATGCTCTCCTGCTTATTTTGCAAACTACTTTAAATATACGTCTCCTGGTTTTATGGTACCAATATTTCCTTTCCCTTCGAGACAATAAGAACTGCAGGTGCTAGAGTTAGAGATAACACAGTGTGGAGCTGGAGGAACACAGCAGGCCAGGCAGCATCAGAGGAGCAGGAAAGTTGACGTTTCAGGTCGGGACCCTTCTTCAGTAATGGGAGGGTGGGGGGCTGGGACAAGAGCTCAGAAATAAATAGCGAGAGCAGGGGTGGGGCTGGGGAAGGTCGATGGGATGGTGATAGGTGAGTGCAGGTAGGGAGTAGTGGGGATTGGTCAGTGAGGTGGGAGAAGTGGATAGGTGGGAGAGAGGATGGACAGGTCAAGGAGTCGGAGATGAGAGGGAGGGTTGGTCATGGGATGAGGCCAGGGGTGGGGAGATTTTGAAACTGGTAAAATCCACATTGAAACCATTGGGCTGTCGGCTCCCGAGGCGGAATATAACGTGTTGTTCCTTCAGTTTGTGGGTGGTGTCATTGTGACACTGGAGGAGGCCCAGGATGGACATGTCACCCAGGGAGTGGGAGGGGTGAGTTAAAATGGTTGGTGACTGAAAGGTGTTGCCATTTGTCGCAAACAGAGCGCAGGTGCTGTATGAAACGGACTCCCTACCTGCAGTCATCAATCACCATCCCACCTAACTACCCCAGCCCCACTCCTCCTCCCTCTATTTATTTCTGAGCTCCCTTCCCCCACCCGATTTCTGAAGAAGGGTCTCGGCCCGAAACGTCAACTTTCCTAGCTCCTCTGATGCTGCCTGGCCTGTTGCGTTCCTCCAGCTCCACACTGTGTTATCTTTTCCCTTAGCTTGCAGGCACAGAACTTCACTTCAAAGCTAATAATGCCATGCAAATGATATGCAACACCCCTGTGCCACCAAACAAAAGCATTTACCATACAGAAGACAATGACTGCTTTAATTTAAATCACTCCTTTTTATGTCCTGCAGTGAAGTTTGTTTTTTATGGGAATATAAATTACATTAACACAAATGGAATGAGTTATGGAGAAAAGGCATTGTTGTAAATAATATAACAAAATGGATTGAAGAGACACGTAGAATTACACGACGAGATCGAGGGAAATGAGATTGATGTCAGCATTTCGATGCCTGCAACCATGTAAATTCAGTTCACAGAATTATCAGAGGTTAGAATGAGGCCATTTGGCCCATCGAGCCTTTGCTCTCGAATAGGAGAATTTGAGCTCATCCCACACTGATTGCCTATTCCTGTAGCCCTTCGAGTTTCTTTTCTGTCTTCAGGTGCTTCTCTAATTCTCATTGAAAGGTGTACTGTACAATGTAGATGGGCTTTGCATTGCAGATCCTGACCACTCGCTGCGTGCAGAGTGTTTTCCTTCGTCGCTTTAAATTCTATCACTTTAAAAATGTTCCTACTGGAAGTCTGAGATAAAACAGAACGGGCTGGAAATTTGTACAGGGAAATAAAGTTGTCATACAGATATTTAGCAGCCCACTTTAAGGGGACATTGAAGGTGGAGGTAATCAGAAGATAAACAGGTAATGGAGACCTGAACACCTCCCACTTCTGCCCCACTGAGGCCCGGCATAGAATCACAAAATTGTTATGATTCAGCAGGAGGCCATTCAGTCCATTGTGCCTGCACCAGTTCTATTACCGAGTGCCAATCTCCTGCCCTTATTCCTGCACACCATTTCTATCCAAATAACCATCGAATTCCCTCTTGAATTCCTCAAATGAACCTGTTTGTACCACATTTCCAGGTAATATATTCCTTATTGTAACTACTTGCTGAATGAGAAAGGTTTTTTTTTCTCATCTTACTTGAAATCTATGCCTTCTCATTCTCTTTTCTTTTACAAGTGGGGACAACTCCTCCCTATTGACTCTGTCCACTCTCCCACAATCTTGGAAAACTCGATCAGATCTCCCCAAGGAGAACAGTCCCAACTTCTTCAATCTACCCACATTCTGAAGTTTCACATTCCTAGGGCCACACTAGTAAATCATGTCTGTGCTCTCTCTCTGAGACATTTGCATCTTCCCTATAATGTGGCACCCAGAATTAAACATCATAGTTTTCCCCTAAGAGGGAAATTAATATGAGATGAATATATCTCTGTTCCTTCACTGTCGCTGGGTCAAAATGCTGCAATTCCCTCCCCAGTAGCATTGTGGGTCAACCCACAGCAGGTGGACTGCAGCGGTTCAAGAAGGCAGCTCACCACTACCTTCTCAAGGGGGGCAACTAGGGATGGGCAAGAAATGCCCATTCCACAAGTAAATTTGAAAGCAAAATTCAACCAGGGATGGATGGAACATTCATCAAGTGAAAAACTGGAGAGTTGTTTGCATTTAGGACCCTGAGCAATTCCCTTGTTTGATAGCACGCTGGCCTGGGGGGAGGTGAGGGGGGGGCGGATGGTGGTAGGTGGGGTGGTCAAGGGAGGCAATGTCAAGCAGGAAGGGGTGATGGCTCCAATGACATTCTGCCTACACCGCATTATTGATTTGATAGGCCAACTCTTTTCAACCCTGGGTGGAGCTGAGATACATTGCAGCCCAGGCAGCACAAGGTCCTTATGTGGGTTTTAACTGGTCATTAATTGGCCACTTAAGGACCTCTACGGATGACCTGGTGGGAAGGTCAAGCATGGGGGAGGTGTGAAGGCAGCAGGGTCTTGGTCCACCACTATTTGGCTGAATTAAGTCACATTCCTGTTCCCAGACTTCAAAAATTCCACCCGTTAATTCTGGTTCTCCCCACGATGTTGTCTTACCTGCTGAGTATTTCCAGAATTTTCTGGTTTTTATTCCTTTAGATTGATCCTCAATAGGGACAGACTCTTTCTGTCTAGACCAATGAGAACAGTCATTGTTTCTATCAAGCCTCCCCTCAAACATCCCTTCTTGATGGAGCTCAGCCTTATTTTCCCCAAAGATTCTCCAACGTTGACAGTTGCATTGACACAACTGAAGCCCTTGGACACCTTCGACTGTAACTTTTCTCTCACTCTTTTCTGTTCTTCCTAAAGTGTGGGTCATGCATTGGTCACAAGACCCCAGTGGAGGATAAAGCAAATTGACAGAAATTGTTTGGATGAGAAACGTTACCGTTCTGTGTGAGTTTCGTCGAACAGACGAGTGTGGAAATCTGAAAGCTGTCCCTCGAGCATGTGGGCAGTCCACTGCTACTGCTCCTGAACGAAGAACCCAGATTCAGCTTGGGATCAGCCATCTGTTTACTGGACACATTGTTCAGGTAGATGGTGGCATCTTCGAGTTTCCTGCTGTCGCCCTGCAGTTGGAGGTGAGGGAGGAGGGAGGGTTTGGGGAGGGGGTGGTGGGTGAAGTTAAAAAAAATGACAGTTAGCAACTGAAGAAATTTTATTCATTCATGGGACAAGGACGTTGCTGGCCAGGCAGCATTTATTGCCCATCCCTAATTGCCCAGAGGACAATTCAGAGTCAACCACATTGCTGTGGATCTGGAGTCACATGGAGGCCAGACCAGGTAAGGTTGGCAGTTTCCTTCCCTAAAGGACATTAGTGAATCAGTTGGGTTTTCCCTGACAATGGATTCACAGTCATCACTAGATTTCTAATTCCATATATTTTATTTAATTCAAATTCCACCATCTGCCATGGCGGGATTTGAACCTGGGTCCCCAGAACAGTATCTGGGCCTCCAGATTAACAGTCTAATGATAATACCACTAGGCTATCGCCTCCCCCTGAGACATCCCACCAAGGGCTAGGCATTCGCACCCAACTCAGAGGCGCTGGGTGAAGATAATTCGCAGCCCCTCAGCCCCGACACAGAGGAGGATGGCTCCGGGAGGTTGGATTTTTGTTTTGGGATCACGGGAATCTTTGACAGCTGTGTGCAGGGGAATCCAGGTGCAGTCGTGAGTGGGCAGATAACCGCACCCAGTGTTCTGGCAGTGTAGCAAAAGCAACGGAAATGCACAAAACATCACTCCAGCTCTGGACACCCACAATCTCACCATGTCCCATCCATGCCAACCTTGCCCACATGGCCCTTCATACCCTCTCGGTCAATCTGCACCCCTTTATCTGCCACCCACATTCCTTTACAGTACATATGCCAACTTAGTCCTCACTCATGCCAACTCACCACCCTCTCTTCCAGCACCAACAATGCCACTCACCACATATCAATCATGTGTTAACTTCAGGACTTCATCTAAAATACTCTGATTCATTATAATCCATTTACTACATTCATGTTCCTTCAAACAAACAATACCTTTTAACAACAGATATTTCAAATCAATAGTTCCTTATAAAAACAAAAAATTAGAACTCTTATTCCAAGAATCCATTACCACTTGGAACTGCCAAACAAGTTCTGTTAATGGAGATTTATGACATTAGTGATACGGTACTCAGCATACAGTAGGGTGGCACAGTGGCACCATGGTTAGTAGTACCAGGGACCTGGGTTTGGTTTCAACATCAGGCGACTGTCTGTGTGAAGCTTGTACATTCTCCTTGTGTCTGTGTGGGTTTCCTCCATGTGCTCCGGTTTCCTGCCATAGTCCAAAGATGTGCATTAGATGCATTGACCATCCTAAATTGCCCTTAGTGTCCAGGGATTAGCCATGGTAAGTGTAGGGTTATAGGGATATAGTTGGGGTGGGGACGGGGTGGTGTTGTGAACCCTCTTTGGAAGGTTGGTGCAGGCTTGATGGGCCAAATGGCCTCTATCTGCACTGCAGTGATTCTCTGAGTACTAAACCATTAATAGTAGACCCATGGCTTATGTTAGCAGACAGAATGGAATAGCAATCAATGTATTCTAAATGTTCCAGACAGCAATTTTTTTTCCCCCAGATTTAAAGGGCAGGAGTTTTAAAGGTCACTTTAACAATTTTGTTTTTCAATGAGCTTTAAAGTCCCAATGACATTATGCCACTTATCACACACATTTATTCCTACCTTTAGCAATCCCAAGATAATCTGGCCTGCCCCACAGAGGTTGCTTAATCATAGCTAAAGATGTACATCACCTTTCCTCTGGCTATTCATAAAAATCCACTAGGTTCAGACCTCCACCTACCTGATCCAATCTGCCCAGTTTACATTTCAGACACCCCTCCCACCAAATCCTTACATCAGTGGTGGCAACTACTGACTTATAAATAGGCAGCAGTCTGCACAGAACACATACGCATGAGACAGCGCCCAACTCTATCATTCCCAACAACCACACCCCCTTTTTTTGGGGGGAGGTGTGACTTGCAATTTTTAGGAACATTTTTAAGGCTTTCTCTCTCATGGCAACAATTGAGGCTCAAATCCCATTCACATATCACTCGCTGATTTATAGTAGCTCCCAATCCAGCAGGTTTTTCATGCAGATGTCCGTCTGCAATCTCACAATTGGCTGAGATACCTGCACTCCTCCAATTCTGGCCCCTTGCATATTCCTGATTTTCACAGGTCCATTGCTGACAGCCGTGATAGTGACCCCCCAGACTTTGAGCTCTGGAATTCCAAGTCTTAAACTCTCCAGGTCCATATACCTCACTTCTCCTTTAAGACCAAGCACCAGGCTTCAGGACTGCATAGTCAAATTTTGACTGGGAATGATGGGCTGGAAGTCTTATACTGTCAGAGAGTCATACAGGACAAAAGGAGGACATCCAGTCTATTGTGCTTCTGTTGCCTCTGAAAGGAGTTTTCAAAAAGTCCTAGTTCCCAGCTGTTTCCTCCCTAAGGAGGTGAAAGCAGATAATGGTGACCAGGTAACCATTGCCAATTGCTGTACAAACCCATCTGGTTCACTAATGTCCTTTAGGGAAGGAAATCTGCCATCTCTACCTGGTCTGATCTACCTGTGACTGCAACATTGACTCTTAATTGTTCTTTGAACAACTAGAGATGGACAATAAATGCTGGCCTTGCCCATAAATAAATTAAAAGCTACTTTTCTTGATATTAATAAATCAGTACCATCCTCTGCAAATGTTCGTGAATTTGTCTGATCTCTAACTTTCCCAGAAGTTTGAGATTTCTGAACTTTTCATCTTCAGTGCTCATGTGCAATTTAAGTCTCGTGTCTCCTTTGACATTTTCCGATCTCTTTCATTAACTTAAAGGTTGTTGCAGTATAAATGTAACTCAACAGGGTTATTTTAACGCAGATTGCATGGAAATGCATGCTGTCACAAGCAGCACTGCTCTCCAGAGAGACTTTAGCAATTCAGCTTCGCTAACTGGGAGCTTGGAGCAATTGCAGAGAGGAACTTCCCACTGCAGCCAGCTCCTCGCCTTCTAATTAATGATCCCACAGCCACAATCATTTCTTCCTGCAAGGTTTAATAGTTAACTTTATCACTTCTGCGCCTTTACTGGACTTAAGGGTGCAGAGAAAGATTGATTGCATATACTTGGGTCAGCTTTTGTGTAATTGGTCATGTCTGGGTGGAGAAGTACATTATCGATTGGTTATGACTGTGATCATTTTGTCCAAAACTGATTCATCCTGGTCAGGTCTGATAATCCATAATTGGGAGAAGTAAATGAAGGGCAATCTGTTCCAGGAAATGTAAACTCCCTCATTTATTATCTCAGATATCTATTAGCTAAATAGTAATGAATTACTGTGAATGCACAATATACAGTCATTACAGAAGTTATTGTTAGATCATAATGTTGTTCTTAAACAGTTATTAATGCTAATATGATTAAATATTACATTAAAATGTTCTGAAGCCAGATGAATCATTGCTGGAATGCTTGACACTTTTATCATCAGTAAATATTGAAGGATTTCAAATGTCAAACATTAATTGCTGCTATTCAATTTGCACATCTAGATTTTTCAGACACTTTTTTTTACACATGAACAGATTCACAAGTGCACTTTCTTTATTAAACAGTGTTTAAGGGTTTTTGTTTTAATATAACATTTTATTTGATCGAACATCAACTTCAGACTCAGGGAATAGTGTGCATGAGGTGCAGAGCATAGCTCACCATTCAAGCCCAATATTAGCATATGGCTATGGCACCCTCTGATGCACAGAACCAGCCAAATTCCCTCAAGCTCTAGCTGAATTATGAGCATGAGTTGATATGGGGCTTAAATCTTTGATGACAAATCAAATTGTCATTTTCATAGCGCCCTCTCTGACCGCAGAACGGGAGATGTTGACATAGCGGTGTTGTCACTTGATCCAAACTCCCAGGCTGATGTTCTGAGTTCAAATCTCACACAGGATGGTGAAATTTGAATTCAGTTAAAAGTATGAAATTAATAAAGCGAGCCTAATAATGACCACTGTCAATTGTTGCAAAAACCCATCTGGATTATGCATGTCTCTTTGGGAAAGTAATGTGCTGTCCTTCACTGGTCTGGCCTACATGTGATTCCAGATCGAAAGCAATGTGGGTGACTCTTAGCAATCAGGGATGGACAATAAATGCGATGCCCACATCCTATGACTGGATAAAACAAACCTCATGACCCACACCCTATGCAGTGCCCTTAACAATACCACACAATGGGAAAGGGAATGGGAATCCTGGAATTGGGTTATGCCAGTCTCTTTCTCTCTCTGGAAGATTGTCAGCCTGACCTGTGTGCAATTTTAGCATTCTATTACCAAAACAGCAATAAACCCATGGAGAGCATGCATTGTAGTCTCGCCAGTATGGACCACTGATGGAAAAATATCTTACAAACAGAGACTTCAGACTGTGTTTCAAGTGAATAAGAAAGAGATTTGTAAATGATGAAGGGAAGCGACGGAACACTTATTTTCTCTGGTCTTAGTCATAACTATCAATGTAAGATTGCCACTTCAACAGAGTGAAGAGGGACGTTCGATGAAATTTTTGGAAACGGAGGATTGTTAGGGCATATAATGTTTAGCCACGGAAAGTGTATTGGGTATCATTTAAAATAAAAGTGGCTAAATAAACAAAGCAGAGCAAAATACATATCTATGGAGGAACTGTAAACTGCTCCAGTGCAGAAATGCCACAAACACGATGGGTCAAATTGCCTCTGTGTTGTGAGCCACTCTGTTTCACACGACTGCAAGGGGCACGCTCGCAGACCAAGCAGTCACAGTGCGAGTAGCATGTTGGGTAATGGTCTATTACTTCGTCAGTTTATTTTGTGTAACATCCTGGTGACTCTGAAACAAATGACTAATCCACAGACCTGAAGGAGAGCTTGTGCCTTGCAGATAGTGGAACTAGTGGCTTTCAGGAATTGTAAGCCAAATTACTCGCCACAGAATTTTGCAATCTCTGATTCACAGATCCTTCAGTGAGACAAAACCCATAAACTCAGTTGTAAGTTCTTTATAAATACTGCCTCAGGGTTGTGGACTGAAGTCCCGCTCCAGGGATCTGATTAGTAATCTGGTCAGTTACTTTAGTGTAGTTTTCAGCGAGTGCTGTGTTTGTTGGAGGTAGAGTTTTTTGGATGAAGTGCTAACCTGAGATATCTGCCCTCCTGGATGTGCTTAAAAGACCCCACAGCACTATTTCACGGAATCTCATTGTGATCCCATGACCCAAATCATTTAAACGGATTATCCAGTCAGTGGCCTTGTTGTTTATGCATAGCAAGATCCCGCATTCAACATGACAGCACAGGGTTTCCAAAGGGTAAAACAACTGAGTTGGATACTAAATAAAGACCGAAAGAACTGCGGATGCTGTAAATCAGGACCAAAAACAGAAGTTGCTGGAAAAGCTCAGCAGGTCTGGCAGCATCTGTGAAGAAAAAAACAGAGTTAACGTTTCGGGTCTGGTGACCCTTTCTCAGAACTGGATCTGAAACGTTAACACTGATTTTTTTCTTCGTAGATGCTGCCAGACCTGCTGAGCTTTTCCAGCAACTTCTGTTTTTGTTCCTGATTTGGATACTAGTTGATTTAAAACCTTTCATTTCCTCTGTTTTCTGATTTTCTTCATCATTCCCACTGACCCCATTCCCCAACCAAACACCAAACAGAATCATTACGTCTCAAACTCCTAAGGTACAACTTTCTCATCCCTAGAGGTGGTGAGAAAGGGAAATAATGGGGCTTGTTGGCCCTAGAGAAAACTTCAAATCTGTTTCATCATTTCGACAATCAAGTGCTGATTGAAAAAGTCCATTGGAAACTCTTTGGAATCGCCAATAATTAAGGTGGTTGAGTGCAGAATCTATTAATGGCCTTAAAGGGAGCCAACTTGCCACCTCCCAGATCACCTGCCTCTGTTGCATTCCAGAAAGGTGGCTACTTTACTGACTGGGAAACTAGAGAGACCTGACTGCTGAAATGGTGCAATATCCCCAATCTGGAGGCAATCTGAGGTAGTGATGAAGTGGGGCACAACAGCGTAGACTCTAAAAACCCCCACTCCCACCCTAGCCTCTGACTGCCCCTCTCCCCATGACCATCACCCCAATTGAAGAAGAAAAATAACTTACCCGCTCACACTTGTACCCTCCGACCCGCCCACCTCAACCCAGGTTCCAGTGTTAAGCCCTGTAACAGGGGTCAGTTCTTAATGAACTGACTGGAGTTCGAACAGACCAAACACTCTCACCATGACACTTCAAAAGAAATGGAAAAGTCCATCCTTTACTCCCAAGTTCAGTTAGGGGATGGCCTAGCGGTATTATCATGAGACCATTAATCTGGAGACCCAGGTAACGTCCTGGGGACCCGGGTTTGAATACTGTCAGGGCAGATGGTAAAATCTGAATTCAATAAAAATCCGGAATTCAGATTCTAATGATGACGTTGAATCCACTGTCGATTGTCAGGGAAAGTCCTCCAGTTCACTAATGGCCTTTAGGGAAGGAAACTGCCATCGTTACCTGGTCTGGCCTACATGTGACTCCAGAAACACAGTAAAGAGGTTGACTCTTAACTGCCCCCTGGGCAATTAAGGATGAGCAATATATGCTGCCCACGCCAGTGACGCACCAATCCCACAAATGAATTTTTAAAAATCCGGACAAGTGACACCTTCCTCAAAACACTATTTCCTCTCACTTGCAAATAACTCGTAAGCTCAGCACAAGAAGACGTCTCTGGCTTGAACATAACTTCAGAAATAAAAACAGCACCGAGTGATTCTGCACCGCACTGCCATTCAATAAACTCGTGGCGTATTTGAACGTGACCTTGACTCCACTTTCCTACATGTCCCCCATGACCCCTTGACTCCCTCCCCAATCAAAAATGTAACTTAGCCTTGAATACATTCAATGCTCTCGCCTACACTGCTCTGTGGGGTAGAGAATTACAAAGATTAATGACCCTCTGAAACTGAAATTTCACCTGATCATGGTTTTAAATGGGAAGCTGTTTATTCTGAAATGTTCCCTCGTTTATATATTCTCTGACAAGATGAAACATTCTCTCAGCATCAACCCCATCAGGCCGCCTTACCATCAAATCTGTTTCAATAAGATCAATTCAAGCTCTTCTAAACTCTAACGAGTTTAGGGCCAGCCTGCTCGACCTTCCTCATCAGACAAACCCTAGCCTCAGGAATTAACCTTGTGAACCTTCCCTGGGCTGCTTCCAACGCAACTTAATTAAAGAGTCAAAATAGTATACAGTAGTCTCAGCAATGCGCTGTACAGCTTTAGCAAGACTTTGTTATTCTTGCACTCCAATTCCCCTTTCTTCGAATGCCAACAATGTCTTGATTTGTGCTTTTTGATGGAAAGCAGCTATCAGGAAGAACCAGCTGAAAAGAAATTACAGAACAACTTGAATATCATCACCATTTATTTTCACCTTATACAAGATGAGGTCATGGTCTCCATCTCGCAGGGTTGTTCCATCAGGTTTCATTAGTTTCACGTACGCCATAGCAAATATTTTCTCTCCTTTATCTCTCGCTGTAATAGATAATGTTATAGGGATTTTTGTTTGGCAAAATAATAGATGCTGAGACTTCTTCCAACACGCTTGAACTTCCTTGACGAATAGTTTCAAATCTTTTTTGCTCAATAGCTTTACCTTTTTTGAATATATTTTTCAGCACGAGAGTTTTGTGGACACATGGTGGTTAGTGATAATGTCACCTGACTAATAATCCAGAATCCCAGGCTAATGCTTGGGGGATGTAATTTCAACCCTATGACAGGGTAACAAGACAAGGGAGCACTCAATGGGTGGTAGGAATTTCAGAGGAACAGAGGGATCTTGGGACGTTTGTCCACAAATCCCTGAAGAGGGCAGGACAGCTTAAGAGGGTAGTTAAGAAGGCATAGAGAAAGATGTGCAGGATAGGTGGATTGGTCATGCTAAATTGCCAGGGATGCTTAGGTTAGGTGGGTTAGATGTGGGGAAATGCAGGGGTAGGGAATGAGGAAGGGCGGGATGCTCTTTGGAGAGGTGGTGTGGACTTGTTGGGCCAAATGGCCTGTTTCCACACTGTAGGGATTCTATGATTCTATGAACACTTGCCTTTATCAGTCAGAGCATAGATTATAAGAGCAGAGAGGTTATGTTAGAGCTGTACAGGACTTCGGTTAGGCCATAGCTGGAGTATGGTGTGCAGTTCTGGTTACCACACTATAGGAAGGATGTAATTGCACTGGAGAAGGGGCAGAGAAGATTCACCAGAATGCTGCCTGGGATGGAGCATTTCAGCCATGGAGAAGCTAGATAAGCTTGGGTTAACCTGAGACAACAAGGTGCCGGGCTGGATGAACACAGCAGGCCAAGCAGCATCATAGGAGCAGAAAGGCTGACGTTTCGGGCCTAGACCCTTCATCATTCAT